CCCCGGCGCTGCACGAAGCCGCAGCCTCCGCGCTCGGCCGCCTCACAGGCCTGCTGCTCTGCGCCTGAAGCAGCTGCCCCGCGCCTCCGGGCCTGCGGCTGCCCAACCCCGCGCTACCTGCCCCACCGAGAACTCTGCCCTGCCAGACGTCTGGGAGATGTGCGGGCCCGCGAGGCGTGAACCCCGAGATCTAGGAGGCTTTGCCCACGCCCCTCCCCCTCCCGGGTCTGGTCGAGACCCTCTAATTTAGGGTTTGCGGGTACCTTGGAAACATGTTCCACGCCCAGAAAAGGTTTACTGCCTGGAGGGTCCCTCCTGACACTGGGGAAAAGGACTGCATTTGCCACCCCCCCCCCAATCTGGTCTCTTTCTGTATCCAAGGGGCCTCTGAGCGCCCCCCACAATTTCTCCTTTGACATTTCCAGAAGCTGTTTTCCTAATCCTCTTCCTGGTTCTTGTTGTTTATCCTCTGAACCTTTCAAGTGTGCAGGCAGTCTCTGGGTGGGAATCCCAGCCCCAGGCCTCACTTACTGGCTCAGCGACTTCGGGCAAGTTGCTTAACCTCTCCCTTTCCTCCTCTGTAAAAAAGAGATAAAAATACTTCTGTCCCTGGCTGGTTGTTGTGAGATTAAATAAGATCCATGTATAAATGGAGCGTTTTCGCCCAGTGCCTGGAGTGTAGTAAGCGCTCAGTAAAGAGTAACTGCACTTCTGGGCTGATGTTTGCTGAAAGGAGCTAGCCTCTGTATATGAACACCAGTGTAGACTCTTGCCCTCTGTGTCCCAAGGTCACTTGGCCCCTACACCTTCAGCTCCCTCAGAGACAATGGGTGTGAAAGGACTCTGTAAAACACCAGCTGACTGGGAAGTGTCGGTCCTGACCCCAGGAACACCTGGGCCTTAGCAGGAAGGCACTCCGGGGCAGTTTGCTCTCCTGTTACTGCCCACTTCCCAGAGGTTCGATGCAATAAGGCTGAAGCACAAGATGCAATAAGTTAGATGCAGTAAGTCTGGTCTCCAAAAGACTCCAGGGAGTTCTGAAGAGGGCCGGCACTGAGTGACTGTGAATCTGAGGGCATGAGGGAATCCCACCTCGGGAGGTGCAAAGAGAAGGGGCAAGAGAATCATCTTATTGCCTTTATTCCGCTGACGGCCCAGCTCACCCCACTGCAGGGCACAGGGCCAAGCTTTTACACACTCACCCATGCTCTCTGTGCAGGCCAGTGCATGCACAGACACACACACGCACGCGCACACACACACACGAACACACTCACATACACATCCAAACTCTGGCTCTGAGAGTCAGTCTCTGGGGGGCAAGGGGCTACTCCTCAGCCTGCCCCTGCCTGCCCTTTTATGACAGCACCAAGGGTGGGGGTGGGGCAGGGCCCTCAGCCCCCAGAACAAGTCCCTGTGCAAACTGGAGGTGCCAGCTGGCTTCAGGATGGGGTGTCACATTTCCCCATTCCCGGAGTCCCCTCCTCCAGTTCCTGAGGGAGGGACTACTCTGCCTACCTGGGGGGGCCAGACCCCTGCCAGGGCTGGGCCCTATAGAACCCAGGCTTATCCTCCACCTGACCCTGCCAGGACCTCCAGCACTGAAGAACAGCGAAGTCTGAGGTGGTGGGGATCCCCCACTGGAGAGCAGGAAGGCCTGGGCCCTGAGGGGCTTGGGGAGGGGTCATCACCCCCTCTCCTAATCCATCTTCAATATGAAGAGGTTTGGGGCACACTTCCTGGGGAGGGAGCACAGGCATGGAGGAGAAGTCCCAGTTTGGGCCTTCCCCAAACTTCCATCTTCTGGGCCACAGCCTAAGGCCAGGCATCCAAAAGTCCAAAAGTCCAGCCGGCTGGTCAGAGTCCCTGCACAGTCCTTGGGGGGTACCCACCCAGTGGGAGTCAGGTGTCAGACCTGCACGGGCAGTGTCTGGTTCATCTGTAGCCGCATGTCCTGGATACTGCTAAGGATCTTCTTCTGATGGCCAGCCAAGGTGACCCCAATCCGGAGCAGGTCTCTGCAGATGGACCAAGGGCAGGGTCAGTCCCTCCCCTCCTGCCCACCACTCTGGGCCCTGTTCGGGGCCCCCTGCCCTGCCCCTCCAAATCTGAGGCACACTCACTCTGCAGTCATCTGAGCCACCAGGTCAAAGGTTGCAAACCCCGCGCTGACAAAGCTCTCCTTGTACCGCCCCATCTTGATGGCATCTAGCCAGTCACCAACTGTAGTGAAGGTTGTGTAATCTGGGACCGTGCGGTCCAGGAGGGGCTGTGACATGCTGTGGGGAGAAGAGAGAGACTTGGGTGAATCCTAATGGCAAGGGAAGCAGGGGTGGGGCTGCTGGCCCAAGAGCAGAGTGGGAACATGGGGCGCCTGGATGGCTCAGTCGGTTAAGCGTCCGACTCTTGATTTTGGCTCAGGTCATGATCCCTGGGTAGTGGGGTC